GGGGCAGGGCTGGACCCCAGCCCCCTTTCCAGCAAGCCCCCAGCCCTGGGATGCAGGCACCGGGCGGTTTCAGCAAGGGGAACCGGGGCTGGCACCGAGGGGACACAGATGGGGAAGGGTCTGAGATAGCCAAAGCCATCACCCGTTCCTGGGGGTGTCCGTCCGAACAACCCCTGTGCCTGGTGAGATCCCTCCCGCTCCAGGCACAGGCAATGTGCCCACGCTCGCAGGGCTGGGGTGACAGCCGGGAGAACGCGGGGCGAGCCTGGCTAGAGGAAGGCAGGCTCCTTCTGGGGCATGCAAGGCCTTCTCCAGGCTGGAAATGGAGGTGAAAGCAGCAGCAGATCTCAGCAGGATTTCAGTGCTGCCGGCTGGTGGTCCAGGGACCGTGAGGGTCCTGCTCTGGGCAGCTAGGACATACGGCTCCTTCCCCCTCCATCCCAGACAACAGCTTGCAACAGGGCAGCTGCAGCACACCGAGCAGCCCCCCCCCCGGCATCCCAACAGCAATGCGACCCCCAGGGCAGCTAGAGCAGGATTTTTGCCTGGATTTATCCCGCTCTGGAACAAGTCAAAGCTGCACCACTCTCCTGATCCTCTCCCTCCCGCAGGGCCTGCCCCAGCCCAGAGCCTATATATGATGTCCGGAGGAACTGAAATAATAAAATGTTTTTACCTGCCAGTGGAGCAGGCAGCAACCCCTTTGTCCCTGTACCCCGCTCCCAGCCGTCGCCGGCATGCCGTGCCCTGGAGGCGATGCTGTGTGCCCACCGGAGCCTGGTCCCGTCCCGCAAGGCAGAGGCACCGGTAGTGTGACCTAAATGCCTGCCCCGAGAGCAGCTTTGGGCTGTGTCCTGTGGTTGCCTGCTCCTGCCGCTCAGCCCTGTGGCTTCCCCACTGCACCAGCCCCTCCTCTTCCCTTTCCTGCCCCAAAGGGCGCCCCAAGCTCTGGAGTGACCTGGTGAGGGGCCCACAGACCCCCGGCCACAGCTCATGCCGCAGCCTGGCTCTGATGGCCACCCTGCTAAAGCCCCCGGCCGCGGCAAAAGCACTGGGTATTGGCGTTAGGAATAGTCCCCTGGCTCTCGAGCCTTGCAAAATCCTTCTCATCAACTCCAAATGCTGAAGGAGAGGTTTACCATGGGGTAAAGCGGGGTGCAGCGTGACTGCCGCCGGCACCCCGTGCACACGCCGCTCCTACCTCCTCACGCCTCTCCCTGTGCAAGTGGTCGGCACGTGCACCTCAGTGCTTTCTCTGCTGAACGCCTGACCTGCTGCTAGAGGTGGGTTCTGCAGCCTCTGCCAGCGGGGTGGCCGGAGGGATGGACACCTCCGGGCACAGAGGCACCCCGGTCGGCCCTCGGGCACTTCTCTGTTGCACTTTTTTTTAAAACCATGATGTTTTTCAATGGAAATGGAGTCACTTTCACCAGCAACTCTTAACTCTTCACAGGTGAGCCAGAAAGCGATGACGGAGTATTTGGGTTCATGGTCATGCCCTGAAGGTCTCACACGCTGCAAAGCAGCACCCAGCATCTCCCCCTCCAACCAACCACCCAGCTGGGATATAGCGCAGGATGGATTAGGCAGAGGTGTAACTCCAAAATCCAGAACTGAGTGAAGCGGGAGAGGGTGTCTAAGGACAAGGAGAGGAAGCTGCTTTGAAGTGTATCAGGATGTTTATCTTGATGTCAAAAACCCTAGTTCACTTTTTAATGAAGCGGCTCCCCCCTTTGAAGTGGATCCTCCTTGCACTGCGCCAGGCTGTGGCTCAGGGAGATCCTGCACAGGCTTCACCCTCCTCAGACGTTAATTTTTCTCATGTGATTTGCCTGAAAAAAACTCCGTGTTGCAGCAGATGGAATGAGACAGAAGTGAAGACTCGGGGAGGAGAGCAGCCAAGCTGCCTTCGGACCCGCCGGGCAGAGGACGGGGTCAGGCGGGATTTTTTAAGGCAGCCCTGAATCAGAGCTCATCTGGGGCCTGAGAGTGAACTTCGGTTGAAGGCAGGGTGCAGGGAGATGCTCCGTGTCTGGGAGCACTTGGCACCTCCCCACAGCAGGGACTGCACCCCAATCCTCGGGGTGTACTAACGCTTATGGGGTCCCTCGAGAGGAGCTGGGTGTTGCTCCAGGTTACCCCCCCAAACAGGGAGGAAGCCTTCCGCTCAGATTATCCATCTTCCCTGCAGGAGACGCCTTCATTAGTTAATTAGAACAACAATCCTCATGGGCTCGTCTGGGATTTGTAGCTGTGCTGGCAGGAGATTTGCTGACTGCAGGCGAGCCCTGGGGCAAAGCTTTTCGGGAGGATGCAGTGCCCAGACCCCGCCGGGACTTACCTCCCCTCCTGCTGAGCCGGGAGCCTCTGGATTGCACTTGTTCCAAGCCCATTTAATTTTAGCCAGAATACTCCCCCTCAAAATGTGGAGCCCTGGGTTTTAGCCCTGGAGGTAGTGAAGCATCTTTATATAAAGTAAGAATAAACTGTAATATTCCCCTTGGTGTAGGCACCGCTCACACTCCAACACAAAGATTCAATGTGATTTCTTTAATACAGCTTCCAGTGAGGGCACTGTTCATACATAACAACATATTGCTTAGCGCTTGGGTCTCTCAAGGGAAGTTTTAGTGGTGGTATTTGAGTGGGGGGAAATGGTTTTTATGAGAAAACTTTAATCTGCAAGCCATAAAGGGAACGGTGGCTTTGCATCCCATGGAAAATGTTCTCAGCCTCCGCTAACATGGTTTTATCTTCCTCTGCAGGCTTGCTTCTTAAGATAAATTTATCCAGGATTGCATTTGGTGTAACAGTTTGATTTCTGTTGGTGCAAGGCTGATTTCTCATGAGAGTAACTGCCTTAATTTCCTACCACTTGACAGCAAGCACAGCTGCACTTTGTACTTGTAGACTTTGTTCTCGCAATCACAGCCCACGGGAGATCCTTACCCTGCTCGCCGGCCACGACGCACCACGGCTGCTCCTTCAGCAGCATCCCTCTCTGTTGATATATGGGCCCTGGATGTCTGCTCCAGGGCTAGAAACGCTTGACTTTCTTGTCCTAACACAAAAGGCAAAGGCTTGCAGGACACGCAGGTCCTACCCCCAGATTCATCTGAAGGAGATAGGTCCAGGTCGCAGCACTCTGGTGCATCCCTGGACACCCCCAAAGTCTCATTGCTACAGCAACGCCTCAAAGTTGGCATTGCAAAATTATTTGCAATTTTATGCTGTTGCCAACAGCAATTTTATGCTGTTACCTTCCTCTAAGCCTTTTTGGGGGTTGTTTTGCTCTGGTTTTCCATGTAACTTCACCCCCTTTCCCATGCTCTTCATTCTGACACAGCTCCCCTCCTTGAGGAACGACCTTTCCCACCCGTTTGCCTGCTCTGCTCTGCTCCTCAGCCACGCTGGCCCTGCAAATCTCGTTAAAGGACGCGTTCATTTACTGGAAGTCTCCAGCATGCTGCTCTGAGCAATTCTCATGCTGTCTGCAGGTGCTTTGCCCTCCTGGCTGCTCTGTTAATTTCTTTTAGCAAGCTCCCTGATTTTGATGCAGTTCCCTTGATGAAGTTAAGCACAACTCAAGTGGCTTTTCTGCTCGGCAGAGCAGCTCTTCAACAGCCCTCTTCCAAACTGCCAGGGATAAAGTCCTGAGTCCGGCCCCCCGCAGGGTCCCCCAGCAGCCTCTCCAAGAAAGTCAATTACCAGCGGCTAAAAATTGCGGCGCTTTGCATCACCACCACATTTGCCTGGTCTCCCATGTCACAGTGTCCCCCTTCCCTGTCCGCTCCTCCCCTCCAGCCACACAACCGTGGCAGCTGCTGTTTGTCTCCCTGCGATGCTCCGGTCCCTGTGGGTACAGCTAAGCCATTTGTCCCTCGCCTCCATGGCCCCTGCACCCATAACCTCATGCAAAACCAGGCATGCCCTGCCATCCTGCTGCTTTCTCACACCTTCAGGTGTTGTGGCACAGGGTGCTGCTGGGGCAATGCTGGTTCCTGATGCCCCGGGTCCGTCTCCAAGCCCTTTGTCCCTGCTCTGGGCTGGCTTTGTCATGCTCAGCTCTGTCCCTGTTGCATGGGACAGGTACCCACGGCATGGTGCTACCCTGGAGCAGGGACCTGGAGAGTTGCCCCGTGGCAGGAGCAAGGCAGGAGCAATGCAGGAGCATGCACTGGGGCTGGGCTTGCTCCGTCTGTAGCTCTATCTCCCGCTTGCGGGTGCCTGACTCCCACCTGGCCCTCGCTCAGCACCCTGCAGACCGGGGCTGAAGCTTTGAGGGGTCCCTGACATGGGACGAGGGCTGGGGATGGTGGCAGGAGGATGAGACACAGGGCTAGGGGATGGGGGAGAAGGAGGGATGAGCAAGCAGGGACTGCATGGGATGCTCCAGGGGAAACGGGGTCCCTTTGCATGCTCAGAGCTGCTCCCCCCAGGCTGGCCGCGGCAGAGCCATTGTCTGTGGGGCTGAGGGACGTCCGGGGACAGAGCAGGGCAGGCGGCTTCAGCGCCTGTGATCTGTGTGGCAGTGCCAGCTGTGGGTGATGGATGGGTCTGCGCAGGGAGGGCCGTCAAGGCTTGCTACTCTGATGAGAAAATCATCGAGTGGCTGCAGGGTGCGCTGGGCAAATTGCAAAAGAAGAGAGCAGCCGGGTCATTCTCCCAGCCTTTCATCATCCCCAGAGCAGCACGGTGACAGCCGTGGCTGGCCAGGGAGCAAGCTCTGGCTGCACCCACGGCAGGATTTAGGTCGACTGTGGTGAAAAGGCTTCATTTCGCTGGGGCCTGGCAGCAGAGCCAGCAGGAGGGGGCCGAGGACCTGCCAGGGCAGCAGCGGGGGATCTGCTGCCTCTGGCCATGGGGTTTCATGAGTATGCAGGGAGAAAATGCCAAGGTGGGGACAGAGCAGGGTTGCACATCCCTCCCTACACACCTGTCCCTGCACCCTGCAGAGATAATGCCATGCTTGGGGACCACCAACCCCCAGGCGACCACACTGGTGGCACCAACAGCCACCCTGCCACCTGCACCTCGCAGCCCCCGGGGCCAGCAAGGGCCAAGGCACCCTCCTGCACCCAGAGAGACCCCAAAGGCTGGGACCTCTCACCAGCCCCTACTCGCTGCTGCCCGCTTGGGCGTGCGTGGGCAGGGAGAGGAAGAGAGATGATGGGTCCTGCCTGCGCGCACGCAGCTCAATAATTCAGGCCTGACACATTAAAGTTGCATGGCGTGCAATTGCCGTCTGCAATGACAGACTGCATCAGGGCCGCTGTCTGGTGAGTCTGGCCCAGCAGACAGGGGCAGGCAGTGGCGGGAGGGCCCCGCAGCCCCGCAGGGAGGGCAGGCTGCCGGCAATGGGCAGAGCATCCCTGCAGTGGGAGTTAGGGGTGGGAGGATGTTGTGGGAGGAAGCATGGTCTTGGCCTTTGGGGCACGCATTTCCAGGGAGCATGTGTTGGAGCAGGGAATGCCGGCCCAACGGCACTGACAGCCCCGCAGGCAGGACGGGGCTGGGAGGCAGGAGGCTGAGCTGGGGCGATGCTGTTCCCCAGGGCCACCCCCTTCTCCTGCATCACTTGTGTCCCCTGCAGCCTCCCTGGCAGGACAGAGGCCACGAAGGCTTGTGCTGCCCCAGGCACCCAGCCAAAGCCCTCCCCAGCTGTGTCTGTCCCCATGTCCCTGCAGCCACCTGCCCTGGTGGGGCTCGAACCCCCCCACCCCTCCCCAACCGAGGAAGCAAAATTCTTCACTGGCTGTTCGGGGAGTCGGTTGCCATGGGGATGTCAGATGTACCTGGTTGTTATAGGGACACTGTTGCCATGGTTATGAGGTTGCTGTGCCTGGCAGAGGCAGGGACGGAGCATCAGGAAGGCTGTTTACACTGGGGGCGGTGGGAGTCGCAGAGACCCCAACTTTCTGAGTGGAGGGGGAAAGCAGAGTCCAGCCTTTCCCCCAGGCACATCCCCACAGAGCCAAGGCTTGGAGACCATGGGGGGTGCACTGGCAAAGCTCACCCAGCCCCATAGGGATGGACAGGCCGGTGCTCTTGACCCCGCAGTGGAGGTGGCTGAGGAGATCTGGATTCTCCCATGGGGTGTCCCAGCATGCTCCCAGTCAGGCTTGGTGGGAGAGACGGTGCCGCACACCCTGTGCTGGGTGTCCCACAGGAGAGAGCGGCTTCTCTATGCTTGGTGCCAGGAGCACTGAGCAAAAACCTTTCAGTCCTGCAAGACTGCGTGTCCTGTACCTGCACCGCACCGCAATGCTCCCCGAGCTGTGCCAGCCTCCTGGGCAGTGGGATGGGTTTCTGTCCCGCTGGGGCTGGGGGGTGAAGTAAGGAGGGGGATTCCCAGCTCTCAGCAGGCAGCCTATGGGGCCCCGGGGGACAAGCTGGGCTGGCAAGAGAGTGCCTGGATCCCTTCCAGCGCTGCTTGGCCGAGCTCCCTCCCCGGCAGCACGGTCAGCTGCTTGGCCTGTCCTTGAGATGAAAAATGCAGTCGCAATTTTAATTAAAACGAGAGGGAGCGCTGAGCCACCCTGGCAGCCCAGAGAAGTGGAGTCCAGCAGAGCCGGTGCATGGCTCCTCTTGGGTTCCCTGGGCAGCTCTGCCAGCTAAAACCCCTGCCTGCCTCTGCCAGGACCCCGTGGGGGTCCAGACTTGCATGTGCCACCCATGGTGTCTGCCGTAGCACAGGCCAGGGGCTGCGCAGCTGCCTGCAAGGGGAATGCACATCCCGCCACATGCTTGCTAGGCTCCGTTATTGTAGGGTCCACACAAACTTGGCAAGCAGCAGGTTTGCACTTCAGCCCTACAGCAGTGAGCCGGGGGATGAGGGAGGGGTAAGGATGCTGCATGGAGCACTGATACCTCCACGAAATGAGGGTGCATTTGTGCAGGACTACTCGCCGGGCTGGTGCGCACACCGGAGTGGCATGAGCCCGGTGCTCGGTGTGCACCACACTCCAGCGTGTTGCTGATGTGAAAGCTAAAGCTGAGCTCCTCGTTCTCTGGGAGCTGCTACTGCCGGGGGGAATGTGATTGGAATTGGTGAAGTGAGTAACGTTTTTAATTTAAAAATTAATCCTTAATCAGCTGCCTGGCTGGACCAGACAGGGCATTTTGTGTGGCAGAGAAAGGGCTGGGGGGTGAGCTCTCCGGGGAAGGAGGGTGGCAGGTGCAGGTCCCCCATCCCCCTTGCACAGTGCCAGGGGCTCCTGCCCAGCCACCCCGGGCTGCCCGGCACACCTCCACACCAGGCTGGCTCCCCACGGCCATCACCCCCTGCAAGGACCGGAGATGCAGGACGCAAAGCCCCGAACACACCACCGGTCGCCAGCTTGCCCCTCCTTCTGATCTGCCTACCCCATTGCCGCTGTCCCCTCCAGCCACCCCCGCAGCCCCCCTGAGCCCACCCCGCTCTGGCCAGCTGGGGCCCAGCTCCCGGGCAGCAGGTTTAATTAGATTGCAATCTTATTACATAGCTGCCTGCCCGCCCGCAGTTGCTAATCCTGTTAGGCATCCAGTAAATCTCCGTGCGCTGGGCTCTGTCCCCAGGATACGGGGAGCGGGGGGGGGCTGCTGGCGGGGGGGCTCTGCTGAGC